TTTACCCCTGTGACCAATTGAGCTGTCCATGTGGGTAATTGTGCCATATATATGTGTGTGTGTTTTATTTTGTAGTTTTTATTGGTGAGGCCAGGGGGGATGAGCTTCTGGCACCTAGAGTTGTAGCTAGTCTTCTAGAACACATACCAACAAGACCAATATTCTTTAGTTTATCATTTCCGACATTTTTTGGTTGAATGGTAGGTAATCACTTCAATTCTTTCGTGAAAAAGAACAAGAAGCACTAACATCCCTAGACTACTTCTTTTCCTAGATAAGGAAGGCAAATTAGGTTGGTAGATTAGGGTTCTATCATTTTTTTTTTTTAAACTTTCAAATTCATGAATTATTGATATATTATAGATATAATGTAAACTCTAAAAGGAAAGTTCTACTATTTAGTGTAGCATGAGATTTAGATTGATTGATAATGTCCACGGAAAGGATGGAATTAATTATAATTAGTTCAGGTGCCTTGAAAAAATATAGTGGTATTTTTATAATTATCACCAATTTTACAATGCAATTTAGAGCACTATACCCTGTACTTCTATGATTTTTCTAAGAATGCACATTTAGTTGTTATAAAGTTCACATTTAGTGTTAACAAAGTACATATTTAGTATTTAAAATTTGCACTTGCAAGAATACAAAAATGCAACCCACTTAGGGTTTGAATTTGAGAGTTTTGACTGAGATTTTTTATTTTATTTGGTTTAAGCCTTTAGGATTCACTATTACTGTTTAGGGTTTAGCATTTACAATTTAAATTTAAAATTTATTTATTTTTTATTAATTTTTTAAAAGTTATTCAAGAATGCATATTTGAGAATAGTATAGTGTTATATGTTGCAAAGTAAAGTTGAGAATAGATCAGAGAGAGAAAGATTTATCTTTATTTCAATCCAAAAATTAAAAAAGAAAAGATGTTTGTGTGTATAGAGAATGACGTATATGTACATACTTTTGATCCTAAATATCAAAGAAGTGCAGAAAAAAAAAAAAGTCTTATTTATCCTAATACTTTAATTTTCCACTAACCATTTATATATGACTTTTCTCAGATACTGCATACTGAACATTGATCTCTTCTTTCAGATACTGCATACTGAACCAGTGAGCAAATCGGCCAAGAAGAAAAAGTGAAAATATTAATAATTGATGAGCGATTAAATTTATAACTACGTACCCCTTAATTGAAAGACCAAAAGTATACGATGTTTTGAAAGTTTCTCAAACAATTTTCACTTAATTATATGCCTTCTTTTACATAAACGGAAATAAGGGTTTGCATTTGAATTGAGTGCTTCCCCTTCATTCCCTCTATTAGAAGCAACAAGTACAAATTAAAGTATCTAGCTAGCTACCAGGTGCCCATGCAATTCAAGAATCCCAATCACCTTCCATATATGTTGAGTGATGAGGACCACTTTGATTGGGTTTAATAAAGAGATAGAATGTGATCGAGTTCAACTCAAATGCAAGATTTTTTGGTTTCTCAGGATCAAATCTTTATCATGACGCCAAAAAATAGTATAGCTGTTTTTCTCCCAAGTTATGTTGTTTTGTTTTCTAAAACGATTCTGTACGTTTTTCACCAAAGCTGTCACGCTGTTTTTCTCCCAAGTTATGTTGTTGTGTTACCCGAACGATGTAATAAAAGTTATACAAATTCACAAAAATATCACTGCATTTTTTAATACATTTTTCATATATCATTTACAGAGCTAGGCCCGGAGATTGTCTGGCGTTGAAGAGCTACGTTTACTAATTAATGGAGTATTAAAGTGGTAGCTGCCAAGATGACGATAACGTTGGATGGGAACATATAGCAAAACCACATTCACACAATTGTAACATCATTTATAAGCCTCGGCTCATCACCTCCACTACCGGCCAACATCGTCACGTTTTTGTTGTTTATGTTGTTTAGGTTCTTGTCGGATCGATCCAAGATATAGTGTAGGACGTTGCTTGTTGTGATACAAACAAATTCAGTGAATAATGGCCGAATTGGATGGTACATTATTTTAACTACATACGTATCCTTTAATTTACGAGAAAATTAAAGTCATAGTTACTATTTAAAAATGTGTTTTTGTGAAGTCAAACTAAGAATATCAATAGTATAAAGACTTGTTCAAGAGTCGCGGAAGGAGGTATTTTCATTAACTTGGAGAGCCCATTGACCCAAACTCTAGATTGGAGAGCTCTATGCCCCTATGTGGTTGGTGGGAGTCAAATCCCCAGGACCCCATCCAGCCGCTGGAGTGCTGATTAGGTCAGGTGGTTGAATGAAAGTACGAAAAGATATCTTAATTAAGGAACAAAACGCTGATCATGCATATTAATTTTTTTTATACTAGATGAGATTTTGAACTCTCAATCTTTCTTAAAGAATGAGATCAGACTGTAAAGCTACTCACATCAACCGAGGCAGATGAGTTATAACTTTAATTTAATTGATATACGACAAAGTCAAATTTAAGACTTTTTGTTCAAAATATTTTCTTGTATTTGACTTGTTAAAAAAAAATAAAAAATCTAACTACTACATGCATGTAATAAATAGTGATCGACTAATAAGTTACCCATAGAATATAAATAAGATAACGTTAGTCTCTTTCAACTTAATTAGAAATTTCGAATTTGAGCTCTAAGAATGTAATTACCTTAAAATTTATAAAGGATGTTTTGTCACCGACGACACAGATAAATTAGTTCCGGTGTGTAGGGTTCTATTGTACCCTATACGACCAAGAAAATATGTGGTCTGGCCAAAAAATAAAATGGTACGGTGACCAAGTTGGACAACTGGTTTTTTCTCTTGGTTTTTTTTTTTTTTTTTTCATTAGAGATGTATGGTTGGTGGCAGCCACCTTGTATTTTTCTGTTGAACATAGAAAGGAAAAAGGACAAACAAAAAATTATCAAAACTATGATTTTTGTTTAGTTAGTTGTTGGTTTTGATGTGCAATGAAAAGAGACATACATAAAATGTCACACTAAAACAATTTAAACAGTTAATAATATTCATTGCGCTATTGATCTGACGTGATTTTATTTAATTAATGAACTCATAAAAAGATCAGCGAATAATAACTAATGAATATAATGTATCGAACAATTTGATTTTACTTATTAGGGGTATTGTTTGGTAAATAGATGTTAGCTGATTGAGTTAGTGAATTTGACTAATTGATAACATTAAACGATTGTAGAAATATCTTGGTAAATTAGTTAGATAGCTAATTACAAGTAAAATCACTTTATTAAAAAACTGATTGAAAAAGTTATTTTGAGCACATAATTTTTTAAATTTTAGCGTTAATCAAGTCAAACCCCTAATAGTGGTTAAACAATCCAAAATTAACTGATAAGCTAACTATGTTATCAAACAAAGCTATTATGATACAAAATACAGAGTAACTCATATCATAGTTGGTCAATTCGTGAAAGAAGGCTCCCAAATAATCAATTACCCCGACAAAGGTTTGATCATGTGACCATTCATTTAGAATGATAATGGAAGTGTCATCACATTACATAATAGTTGGTGACAACTTTATTTAATATAGTTAAATATTAAAACTATACCAGAATTAAGTTTTCAGGCGTTTGTACGTCCAGATTTGAAAGTAACAATTATATTAATTACAATTGGAACAAGTTAATGTTGTTATTCCATGAATGTGCTTGTGCTCCATTGTAGACAGTTAATAATAGATTTGTTATATGCTGTTGACTGTTGTTCCAAATTAATTTTTTTTTTTTAAATGTCAAATTGACCAGAAAATATGGAACAAATTGAATCGGGTCGGGCTCCACGGACATGTGACCCATTACTATTTTATTCTGATTATTTTTACATCGAATTCCAGATCCCCTACATATATACATAAACGCACTGCACATAAGTACATAACCTTCAGAAAATCCTGAAAATATATATATATTTTTTTTAAATAGATCCTGTATTTCTATAAATACAATTTGTATAGTTTACACCCTGAAGAGGTCATGTGTATAGGTGTACAATTCATTGTCCTTTTCCTAGCACCAAAACCCACATGGAAAATTGTAAGATTTTTCCTCTCTTTTCTATATATATATATATATATATATATATATATATATATATATATATATATATATATATATATATATATATATATATATATATATTTCTAATCAATTGAAGGATTGGTATGGACAGTGGTGTAGGTGCGACCGGCGAGACAGAGGGAGGTGTCTCTTCTTCGTATTCTCGTATTTCCGTCTTCCGTTCTCTGTTATTTATTTATTTTTTTAATATATATTAACTATTATATTAAGTACGGAGTATTATAATATATATAATATATAATATATTACTATATTAACTATGGCCCCCTATAGACTTGGGCCCTGGGTAGGTGCCCAGGCTGCCCATGCCCCTGGGCCGGGCCTGAGCCCGACCAGTACTGTATCCAATGCCGGCATGTCTACTATAAAATAATGTACATTTAGTACAAAAATAATGTATATTATATATAGGGGATATACATTATTTTTGTTCTGATTGTACATTATATTGTATAATGTACATTCAGTACAAAAATAATGTACATTTAGTATATTAAAAATGTACTTTTTGTTATGGTCCACATAACATTGTGTGGACCATGGTCCATACAATAATTTGCGGTGATCTTCCCACACTGCTTTGTTCCTTGCCATCCAAATTGCATGTAAGACACCAATAAATCCTTGTGCTATCTGTCACGCCATCCTCATTTTGTAGTACTCTATGATATGCCTATCTATGTTATATTGGCTGTATACTTCTACCTCTTGTAGGACTCATATCTGTACGTATATATATACTGTATCCTAATCGGTCTCTCTACATTGAGTAGAGTTTGATTATTATACACGCACTTTATATTATTATATTATATGCATTAAACCCTAATATACATTATCCCTTTATTGGATCTCCAGGAATTGAATTGAAGGATATGACGACGGATCTAGTGACGGTGAATATGGATGTAACCATGGACGCCACCTTCCTGTCCTATACCCTTCCTCTGCCGGATTCTATTGGGAGTGTTTCCAATTCTGTAGCTATTCATCATGCAAATAGAGGGCAAGATCATCTTCCTCGTAGTCCTATGGTTTTTAGGGCACGTTTTGTAAGAGATTATGGTACATTCATAAAAATTTACATAGTTGTGAATAATCCAATTGGGTTTTCTAAGAATAGTTCCGTCCTGGTTTACAAAGCAGCTCTGGTTGGGATTTCGGTTTCTAGTTATCGGTCTTATACCACATTAGGTTCATTTTGTACTCTCAAGGTAGTTGATAAAGATAATCCAGAATCCATAGTGTTGAAGGAACAAGTGGCAAGTATCAAAGATTGTTGGCATAAAAACCTGTTGGGGAGTGATTATAATAATTTTTTTGTGGATGAAGAATCTAAGAAAATGTGTTATGAGATTCCCCATCGTCCAGTCTCTGTTAGGACCATAATGAAAAACAAGTTCCCAGGAGGGCTTCCGGAGGATCTGATCCTTAATGTTTTGAGATCAGTTTTGACTGCTCTCCAATATCTTTATGAACGGCAGAAGGAGAAGATTATGCACCGGGATATCCAAGCTGGCCACATTTATCTCTGTCGTAATGAAAATACAATATCCCATCAGTACACAATCAAATTGGGGTTTGCAGGCAGTGTTTTTGATGAGAATGATGAAGAAGAAGAAGAAATGGGACAGCACCCATATTTGCCCATGGCCTCCATGTCCGAATGGGGTGCTGCACCAGAAGTGTATTATGGCAATGATCAACCTTACTCGGAAAAGGCTGACATTTGGCTCTTGGGAATCACAGCTTTGGAATTGGCTTGTGGTGGACTCAAAGTTCCAAATCGCAATGCCTTGGAGACAATAATCAAAGATATTAAACTTCCTCCTTGGAAAGTGGCTACCAAGTTCAAGTATTATGCCAAAAAAATGTTGTCTTCCTCGAATGTAAAAGAGGTATTGGTGTTGCCACTTTTGTCGGAGGAGAATTGTAGGAAGAGTTCATTATTATTATATTCAAGGTCTTTCTTCAAGATGGTGAAGCAATGCCTTGCTAGGGATCCAAAAGAGAGGCCTAGTGCGAATTTGCTCCTCCAGTCCAACCCATTATTCCTCAGAGACACCTGGAGTGTGTACGTCCGCGAAAAAGATATATGGAACGTTTTCATGAACAAAACATCATCTTAGCTTTTTTGTTTTAAATGGTTTTAAGTTTAATTTGTTTCCTAGCTTAGGGATTATTGTTACGTTATTATTGAAAAATTATATATTATTATTTACCATGCTCATGGGTTCTCGGCCTATTCCAAAAACTTGTACATGCGCATGGAGTAAATATTGATTCCCACAAATACGGATCTGGTCCTTTCCTAGTCCTCTTCTTTGTTTAAGAAGATGAGATGACGGGTGAAAGAGACGTGTTTCCAGGTGAGGGCAACAGTGTAGGAGGGCACTAGTATAAACAAAAAAAAAAAGTTTTAAATGGTTTTAAGTTTAAGAGTTAATACCCATTTTGGTCCCCCGACTATTAAGTAATGCGTAATTTAGTTCCAATCTATTAAAAGTATTTAATTTATTCTTCTAACTTGTAAAATCATACCCAATTTGATCCTTCGTCATCCATCCACCATTATAGGGAGGGGCAAAAATGTCATTTTATCATAGTCGAGGGACCAAAATGGATACTAGCTATTATTATCTAATAGTAGATGGACCAAAATGAGTATTAATAATAATTATTATTATTATTTATTATTTATTATACTAGTATTTTCACCCGTGCGAAGCACGGAATAGATTTGTCTTAATATATTAAGAATATTTGAATAGTTAATACCCATTTTGGTCCCTCGACTATGATAAAATGACGTTTTTGCCCCTCTCTATAACGGTGTATAAATGACAATTGTTACGAAGAACCAAATTGAGTATGATTTTACAAGTTAGAGGACTAAATTTGATACTTTTAATAAATTGGGACTAAATTGCGCATTACATAATAGTCAATGGACAAAAATGAGTATTATCTCTAAGTTTAATTTGTTTTGTATTCAAAAAAAGAAGAAGTTCAATTTGATTCCTAGCTTAGGGATTATTGTTACCTTAGGTGTAGGGACGAAATTGATTTTGTATACTTACAAACTCAAATCTTTTATCATTCACCCTAAACCACATTGTTTTATTAAAAACACGTTTGTCCCCTTTAAAAAAAAAAAAATCAAATTTGATTCCTAGCAACAGCATTATGTTGTTTATTCATTATGGAATTTTAGTTTATAGATTATGGAATTATAGTTCATTGATTATGGAATTATAGTTTATCGATTATGGAATTATAGTTCATCGATTCTGAAATTTTAGTTCATTCATTCTGAAATTTTTAGTTCATAGATTAGATTCTGGAATTATAGTTCATCGATTATAGAATTATATTTCATCGATTATGGAATTATAGTTCATCGATTCTGAAATTTTAGTTCATATGTTGTTGCTGGGAATCGAACCTGATTTTTTTTTTTTAAAGAGAGACACGGATTTTATTAAAACGACGTCGTTTTTGCATCCGTATGCACCATGCATGGTGCATACGGCCTAATTTGCCGCAGCAATGGCCATCTCCATCTCTTGGGTTTGACTAGTGAGTTCAAGACTTTTCCGTTTCTTTCTCTGCTCAAGCCCAGAATTATTAACATTATTGGGCCCTGGTATCCATGGGCCATTAAGGTCAGCCATTACTCCCATTAACTTTGGATTAAAAATAGGCCCATTTCTAGAATATTCCGGCTCAGTAGTACAAAAATTGAAGCCAAGATTGAAGGACAACTGGCGCTGAACTCATTTGACTTTGAAGGCTAGAAGTAGCTGTCCTCGCAGGTGAGTTAAATGAGCAATCTTTTCCCAGACTGGCCTTGGAGATTTCCTTTGTATATTCACATCATGCGTATTATCCCCAAGGTAAAGACCTGCTTATATTCGTTTTGTCCGTTGGGTCGGAGTATGTTCCGGCGTCGTTGAATTCTTCTTTAATATTTTGGCTCTTCATGCGTGAACAGTCTGCCTCCTTAATCTAAACTGTGATATTTTCCTCTGTAGGAGGATCAGCAGTACGAAGGGTTCACTCTGGCTTTCCATATTTGAGTTACAGCCTGGGGTTTCCTAAAGCAGCCATTTTTCTCCGGCAGATGGTTGGGCTCGCCGTCCGATGGGTCTCAGCTCCTCTCCGAACCTCTTTTCAATGACTACGGTGTATATCCAAAATCTTTGAATTCTTTTTTTTTTTTTTTAGTAAATTGTTTGTTTTAATTGTTAGGTTATTTCAACTTTAATATTTTTAAGATGGGTTTTGCTTATAGATCTTAATTGTTCAGATGGTTTTGCATCAAATAAACAAGATGAATTTTGCTCTGCTTGCTTTTTGTTTACAATTTTTTTTTTCTTTTTTTAGTTTCTTTTAAGTTGGCTTAATTGTTTGGCTGGCTGTGCATCAAACTAACCGATGGGTTTTGCACATCACCCTACAATTATATCAAATCTCAGAGGTGCTTTAGGTTCACAAAGCACCCTATGATGATACTGAAATATCTATATATTCCTATTACTATTACCCTTTCATTTTTCACTCACTCTGCTTTCTTTCTTCACTCCCTCAGTATCTGCTCTTCTTCTCTGATTTTCTAACTCATTCCTCTTCTCTCAGCTCAATGACTATATTTCAAATAGTTTTATTTCTTGTAGTCACCGCTATTTTTCTCACATTGGCATATTTTATTGCCCTCCTAACTCGGAGGGGAACCATTAATGTCAATGGCCTCTTATTGGCAACTTGGTGCCTTGCTTGGGGCCTTGCATCATCTTATGATGCAATGACCCTTGACTCACGATTTCGTGAGGCTGCTATCATCATGCATGTTTTGATGAATAGCTTGGGGTTGGGATATTTTATTTTTAGAGCGGTGCAAGGCTGGGGTGATACCAACCGTATCATCTTAGTCTTGGAGATTTGTATTTGGATTTTTCTAACACTTCTGAGTGTATTAGAAATTTTCCTATTTACTCGTCTGAACTGCAATCAGTTTCAAACGGCTGATAAATGGTACCCCATCACAGTGGCTTTCATGGCAGTTCTGGAGAGCGAAATTACCAAGGGAGTGGAAGTAAGAGAAGAAAGACGCAAGCACCCTTTGGTGGCACGTGTTCAAGAACTTCTAACCACAATGAAAATTGTGGTTGCTCAAAATCCGGGCAACGATCAAGCCATAGAAGCTGCTTTGGTTGTTTTGGTGGATGGAGTTAACATACTACTTCCGGTCAATGGCCGACTTGTGCCACGGGGGCAGGTGCAGCAGGGTTAGTTCCGTGGTGGGTTCCGTGGTGGGGTAATGCTGGGAAGTCGTCCAAAGTTGCTGCTTTCTTTTTTTTTTTTTTTTCTTCTTTCATTTCCGTTTGTTGCTTGTTGTTTGTTGTTTTTCTTTTTTAGTTTTTTTTTTTTCTTTTCTTAGTCGTCCAAATACAAATCTCCAAGACTAGGATGATACGGTTGGTATCACCCCAGCCTTGCACCGCTCTAAAAATAAAATACCTCAACCCCAAGCTATTCATCAAAATATGCATGATGATAGCAGCCTCACGAAATCGTGAGTCAAGGAACATTGCATCATAAGATGATGCAAGGCCCCAAGCAAGGCACCAAGTTGCCAATAAGAGGGCATTGGCATTAATGGTTCCCCATCCGAGTTAGAACGGCAATGAACTATGCCAATGTGAGAAAAATAGCGGTGACTACAAGAAATAAAACTATTTGAAATATAGTCATTAGTTCCGTGGTGGGTTCCGTGGTGGGGTAATGCTGGGAAGTCGTCCAAAGTTGCTGCTCTTTTTTTTTCTTCTTCTTCTTTCATTTCCGTTTGTTGTTTGTTGTTTTTCTTTTTTAGTTTTTTTTTTTTTCTTTTCTTTCCCTGTTTGTTGTAATTTTTCTTTTCACTGTATTTTTTTTTTTTTTTTTTTTTGCATTAATGTATGATGTTTTCTTTCCCTGTTTGTTATTTTTCTTTTCCTGTTTGATGTTTTTCTCCTTAAAGTAACACTTATTAATATATATATATATATATATATATATATATATATATATATATATATATATATTAATCACACCTACAGTATAATTATTAATCACATATGTGCGTATTTTCCGGTGATCACTACTTGGAGTTGACGGCATGTTCCGAGCGCCACTGTTGCAGCGCCATCGTAGGTCGGTCTGATGCTTTGCATTGAGCGATATGATCGTGCCCTGGTGCTTTGCAATGGATTCTAGTTTTAATTCGATCTCCTTCATTTTTGTACTACTAGTTTAGTTCATTGTCGTGATTGCAATAAGGGGGGAAATTACTGAATTAAAAATCCCAGATGAACTGGCTGGGGCAATCTGTTTTTTTTTTTTTTTTTTTTTGAGAAATGGCAATTAAGCCACCTAACTTGAATAAGTTCCAAATTAATCCATGAACTTGTAAAAAAAAAGTGTTGTTACCAATAAGTTTGTAATGTATATTTGTTTTTATTATTACCCTACTAAGCATTTGACCAAAAAAAAATTTAAGTTAAACTATTAATAGTATTTCCAAAATCATCCACAATACCAAATACCAACATGATTATGTTTAATAATATTCATATTAGTCAATACGCACAGTACATATATTGCATATTCAAGGCAGAGAACAATTTGATTCCAACGAATTGCAGTACGCAAGTCATATACAGTGTGCATATATTTTCCATTGATTACAAATTTTCATGTATTTGAACAGTTGTGCATACACAAACATATATGATTGTTGAATGAATACGTATAACATAGCAATTGCCATATACGTACAAATTGTTGGATAATCACAACTCAAAGTAATTTTTACAAAATATAATTAATTTTATATAAAACAATAATATATTATTCCGTAGTTATTAAATTCAAACAAGATAATTATAAATGACATAAAATTTTGAACAATGATCACTTCGGGTATTTTGGCCGAAACCCGAATTAAGACCGACCCGAAGCACCCGAACCCGATGCATGGTTTCTTTATTTTGGTTCAGTTTTCGAGCTTGAAAAATTCCAACCCAAAAATTTTCGGATGACCTAAATATAGTCGGGTCGAACCCGAATCCGAACCCAACCCGTGCCTACTCCTACGTACAATTGATATCATCATATAAGTGTAAGAGATAAATAAAAAAATGGGTGATATATATATATATATATAGTATTTGTAAATATTTTCCATTTTAAGAAGTGCATACTCCTAAAAACATTACATTTTCAATCACCCAAAAGTGGTCAGAAATCCATGGTTTTTATTCAAAACGGGTGGTCTGATAACTATACTTTTGGCATTCACAAAAGTCCTTAGCTAGGGAGGTGAAAAAAAAAAATTATTAGAACAATTTAAAAAAATTATTATACTTTTTCAGTTGCTTTTTTCGGTGATCGAAACATCACATTATTCAGCAGTTGTGTTTTAATTTCTTTACAGTCATGTAAGACAACATTCAAACGTTCTATGATGATCATGTAAAAGTGAAAGAAAACGTATTTAAAATGAGAAAAACAGTACTACATTATTTACGGGTACACCCTTTACTTGTGATCTTGCTACTGCTACGGTTGAGCTAATCCTTAGAGCAGATGTGTGAACCTGTGGCGGTCATACTGTGTTACAATACTCTGCATGCTGCCATTTACTGCACTCAGCAGGATGTTGTGCATGAACCTTTTCTGCAGGTTTAGAAATAGTACGAGATTCCCTCTTTCAAGCCCAGAATGCCAACTGGTGCACTCCTGTCCAACGAAGGACTCCATGTGTCACATCGCATACGCTGCAGAGTCTAAGTTGGTAGCGGTGTCGCTCCATGACAACTGCATCCTTGTGGGTTGCAAGTTCCTTAAGCGGTGTGCATGAAGTGTTTGTTTTTTACTATCTAAGCACGCAGCCAGGAGGTCTATCTGCAATCAAACTAAATTTAATTAGGTAGTTGAGTAGAAGTAACATGTGGCGTACAATGTTGGGTGTACGTTGTGATTACCAGTTCTGCCGGTGCTCCCCCATACATTTCTGTGCCCGTGTTCGTTGCCGACGAGTTGTCAATAATGTCGAACCTGGATCACTTGACACTGATTCTCATCACATAGTAACGTCCCTTTTGCAATATCGGGAAGATATACTGCCAAAAAAAAAAATGCACACTCGATTGGATTAAAACGGTTCTGTGTCAGTGAGATTATCTATTTTAGATTTGGATCAAGGTTACCATGTCTAATGTGGCCATCCCCACGTGGTCTGTTGTCTGCACATCAGCATCTAGTCGCCATTTAAACCACGATAGCCTCTCGTCGCAACTGGATGAAATACCCACAATAGTCCGATCCCAATCTGCACAGACAAAAGGTTATAAACAAGTTAGTAATGTTAAGGGCACTTCAAACAAGTTATAAGTTCTGACAGTAAGGGTGATCTACATCTGCATCAAGACTGGTTCAAAAAGTATTCAATGCAAATCGTACATGTGCACTCCCAATCTGCGCATTCATAAAGTTCTAAGCATGTTCTTTAATATTATGTGTACCTACTTCCAATTTTAATGTTAAGTGCAGTGCATGCCATGTGCATGTATGGTAATGTAGACTGTGCACATCCATGCCATGTGTATCTATTAGACTCCACTGAAATTGTTAGCTAGAAGTAAAGGTATATTCCAGAGTATACAGTAGCACTTTAATAGTCCATCTTAGGTTTCTGGTCTTAGATGCAATTATCTCATACCACCTACAAATCACGGATAAAGTTATGAAGCCAACATGCAAAATTCACATAGTCATAGAGTGAAAAGTGAGAATAGAGAACAATGTTATTCATCCATGTCATGTGCATCTATGGTAATCTAGAAAAAGGAAAAAAAATTCTTCCTTATTATTTAACTAGACTAGAATGCAGCCTCCCAATTGTTTAGAGTGTACATACTGTAGCGGCCATCGTGGCAAATAGACGGGAAGGCGCACTCCATCTCCGATACCTTTCCCTAGCATTGAGCACCAAACACCATGCATCTACTATCACTCTCGACACGTTTGTCCCCTCCTTTAATGTTCTGAAGTCCGACCATTTTGCTTTTCGGCTCGCGCGGTGGAACAAAACTTCATTGCTAACCAAGTTAACGTAAAACGGTTGTCACACGGAGATTGGTTTAGCTCGTAACTATTTCTATGTAATGTATACCTCACTTACCGATCAGCGAGCGGGGAGCCAAACAGCCATGCCCAGACGACATAAATGGGTGGAATAGGAATAGTGGGGTAGCCCATCGAGGTGCTGAAAAACATTCCAAAAGGTTGCTCTTCGTGAACGAGAGGGCTCTTGCCTTTGCGATCAGCACCGCCTCTCCTCCCCTGGGGTACACACTGCGGTGGTGAATCCATCATGCTCCCCCCCTGGCTGCACCTGCATAGGCTATGTTTAAACTGAAACCTGTGGAGCCCGCGTGGGAACAGTCGACGGTCCAGCCGTGTTTTCCTCCAGCCTCTGCGTTTCCAATTCATTAGTCACATATTAATTACCCATGCATGGTATATGAAGAATGAGTAGATAGAAGCAAGCTCCTCAGCATGGCAAAACACAATTGTGCAATGTAGTGAGTGCAGAATACAACCCGTAGGGCTTTTTCCCTAAATGCACACCTGATAATGAATTGAAACAAGACCATAAACTTCACAAATTCCTACCCAATAAAACACCCCTACGGCAACCTGGACGCACAACAACTGAGTTCAAACAGGTAAGTAATCGTCTTAAAATATTAGAATTAATGGTTGGAATGAGTGCATTTCCCGAGTTCCCCCCGCCCCGCCCCCCTGCTGCTCATTCTTAATACACCCATGAACCAACTACGACAATAATGGTGATTTTCATATAGATTCTTGTAGAAAGTTGGGGGAGGACATTTATTTCGTTTTGCACCTATTCTTCCTATTTCATAATGGCACCAAAATGTGGAACTGTATTACTACAAAACCTATTACTTCAACCACATATATGTTTGCTCCTCACATGAGTTTGACATAATGAGACCTTAATGACACACTCCTTTCTTCCAACAACTACTGCATAATATCAAGGCATATGACAACTTTAGAGTTATGCAGTAAACAAAGTATGAGATTAAGCAATCCCAAAGCCATACAAAGTAACGTGTTCAGGGCATTTCGGGAACTATGCATTGCTTCATGCTTCAAGGCTTTTTACTTTTTGTTGATTTGCCTATGCACTAGTGAATCTGAAACAGTAAGTGGTATACAATGAATATGGGCTGTTAGCTTTTCTAGTAGAAGTAAAGGTAAATTAAAAAAGCCTTAAGCACCCAACCTGGGATAAATGCATTCACATAAGTGCACTACTACACTTCTAAAATGCATAAAGACGAACACTACTACAGGCATCACCCATTTTAGCAAATTCTCTCCAATTTCCCCAACGTATAGTAAGCGGTTTAAGGTACCATCACTGTGCAACTGTGAATAAAAAGTTGAAAACACCAAGCAAATCAAACACCGAAACAAATTCTGATGTGCACTAGTTCACTGAAACAGTAAACTACCTACGAGCTCATAAGAATTCTGTTTGTATTACTCTGCTTTCTAGTTATCCTAGTATTTCCTTGAACTGCAATGGTGTCTGCATGATGCACATGGGAGAAAAAATAGTATGCACGGGCTAATTATTATTATTATTATTATTTTTTTTTATTATTCAGTTCACTGATACATACCTCCATGCCTCCACTTCCTTTTATATGCACCTACACCTACACCTACACCTTCACCTACCCCTCTCCCCCCTCCCCCTCAGCTTCTTGCCTCTTATATAGCTTTATTATGACCATTTTCCTGTTTTTGTAGTGTTTGGTCCAGCTTATGCTTTTTGGAGCAGATAGGCTCTAGTAAATTGTAGGCCAAACAAGGGCTTACTCTTTGATACGTGCAAATGCAAATTATTTGATTAACAACACCAAATTATCCATGAAACTATATTTGATGCAGTAACAGGGAGACACATAAACGAAAACCTTGACATATATGTATGAGAGGCACTATCTATTTCAAAAAATAAACTGCAATATTGCCTAAAAACCAAAATTGTCTGCATTACAAAGAATATAGGCATGGATTGAAATTAACCGGAACTGACCTCGATGTGCCACCGGTGCGCCTCCCGCCGCCTTGCGGCTACCCTCGAAGCTACCCCGCCCGCGGCTCGGTCACCAGCAGTGGACGCCGTGGAGGATGGAGGATGGCGACCAGACCGACGCTTGAAGGATCGCGACGCCGGCTGCACCCTGTGAGCCCCGGCGGAGGCCGCTGTCAGCAATGACTAATCGCGCAGCCCTGAGGGAGAGACAGCTCTGAGATGACGGTGCGAGATAGAGTGAAGCGCAGAATAAACGAAGAAGACCCACTCGCACGGTTGAAATACAAAAATGCCCCTAAGACCTTGACCGGTCATAATATATCCTGTGCGCAACGCACACCGTAACTTGTGCACCCACATTATCTCTATCTCTATCTCTATCTCTATCTATAATTATTAATTATATATACGAATAAGGGTCAAATAAGCCGCTCAACAGCACACCAACATGCAATTAGGCCATCCAACTAAAAAAGAATGTAATTGGGTCCCTGAACAACACAAACTTATGCAGTTTGTCCCAAAATTATTTGTTCACCTGAATAGGAGGTTACTAAATTTAAAAATAATTTTTACAATAATTTTAATTAAAATAAATATTTCAAATAAAAAAAATTAAAAAAAAAAAATTTCGGAGACGAAGTTACCTTCGTCGTCTCCGGGCATGGAGACGAAGGGACCTTCGTCCCTAGGCCATGGAGACGAAGATCTCTTCGTCTCCATGGTCGGAGACGAAGGTACCTTCATCGTCGGTCATGGGGTACCTTCGTCCCCAGGCCATGGAGACGAAGAGACCTTCGCCTCCATGGCCTGGGGACGAAGGTCCCTCCGTCTCCATGGCCGGAGACGACGAAGGTAACTTCGTCTCCGGCCAGGAGACGAAGCTACTCGCCGGAGACGAAGACTTCTTCGTCTCGGGCTGTTTCTTTCTTTTTTTTTTTTTTTTTTTTTTTTTTTTTAATTTTTTAATATTTTTTTACTTTAAATATTTATTTTGAAAAAAAAATTATTGTTAAAAAATTATTTTTAAATTAGTAACTTTCTATTCAGGTAAACAAGTAAATTTTGGGTCAAATTGCATAAGTTTGTGTTGTTCAATGACCCAATTGCATTCTTTTTGAGTTGGATGGCCTAATTGCATATTGGTGTGCAGTTGGGTGGCCTCTTTGACCCTTATTCCTTATATATATATATATAGAGAGAGAGAGAGAGAGAAAGAGAATTACATTCATGTAAAAACAGAGTTTAAAATACAAACGTGTGGACATTTCTGGATTGTTGAATTTTGGATATCTAAGGTTGTGATTAGTTTTTATGTTTTTGTGTGCTGTGTCCGCTTATGTGCACTGTCGTTCATGGACGTGTGCACACTGGCCCAAATACTGTGGATTCACACATACATACTACGGATGTGTGCACACCCACACTGTCGTCCACAGATATGTGCACACCCGCATTTAGGTGTGTGCATGATATATGTCCACATGTTTATATTTTAATGGTGTTTACATGTGAATGCAACTATATATATATATATATATATATATATATATATATATATATATATATATATATATATATATATATATATATATATATATATATATATATAGAGTTGCACTTGGGTGCGAACGGCTTGCCCAGGCGCGAAATAGGAATGGATTCTGTTCGTCCACGTGTCCAGATCTAATGGATGAGAAACACTGATTTTTTAAAAAAAAACGGTGGCATTTTCGTAAATAATTGAACATCGAAGTGCAAGTAAAATGTATTACAAGTGCATGTAAAATGTATTATAGGTGCAAGTAAAAATTTACACTGAGCATCAATACTTAGTTGCACTTATAGTTCTAAGTAGTTGCACCTATAATTCTAAGTAGTTGCACACATAGGTATAAGTAGTTGCATCTAGGTGTATGAATGTTTGCGAGTGGTTTTCAGGAGTATTACTACCCGCTGAACTCAGATCAATGAATGTTAACAAGACAAAATTACATGCATTTATAGGTGAAAGTAGGTGCACATATAGTTATAAGTAGTTGCACCTATAGTTATAAATAGTTGCACATATAGTTATAAGCACACCCAGGTGCATGAATGGTTGCGGAAAGTGAATGCTAACAAGGCAAAATTACATGCACTTATAGGTGAAAATAGGTGCACTTATAAGAGATTTTACTTACACTTCGATGTTCAATTATTTACGAAAATGCCACCGCATTTTTTTTAAGTTATTAGATCTGGACACGTGTCACGCGCTGATTCGTTCGCATTTCCTTCCTGGGCACTTATTCGCACCTGAGTGCGTCCCTATATATATATATATATATATATATATATATATATATATATAAGCCAAATGATGGCCAAAATTTTCTTCCAAAAATTTATACGGGGTAAAATTTATAACAATTAATTTATTAATTTATTTTACATATACATTATATATATAATACATAATTACAAAAATGTTAAATCGATTATACAAAAATCATTGCCAATTTACTAAATATAATATTATAATAATTAATTTCATCAAATTTTCTAACTTCAATTATGTTACTACTACCATCAATTTCAATTCTTTCCATTCTGCTAATTTATTTTACATATATTTCATATACATTATATACATAATACATAATTACAAAAATGCTAAATCAATTAACCCAACAGGGTAGCTCAAGAAACATATTACCACTACCAATTTCATATATTTCATTGAATCTCAGTATCTCACTAGTACAAATACATAGTCTCCATATAAAATAATCTACATATAATATAATGGCTCCTACTTTTGTTTTATTGAATAAAATAAAAGCCTACAGTGCTGCATGGACAATAAAAGTACGATTGATTTGTCTCTACGAAGTCAAGGATAACCACGGAGCAACCTTAGAATATGTGCTTTAAGATGTGGAGGTTTATGTTGTTATTTACATTTGGTATTCTTTTGGCATAATAATATCTTAATTATGTAACCGTATTGACATATTGAAATTTGTCCTTTAAAAGGCATATATTAATTCTTTTTTTTTTTTATATACTTTTCCATCAAACAGTATGAAAAACAAACATTTCACCCCATTTTTTGGAAAAAAAAAAATTAAAATCTATATTTTTATGCACTATTACATTAAAAAAAAAAAAAAAAAAAAAAAAAGACTATATGATCATTAAAATTTGGTGTATTTGTAATATTTTTTCAATGGTACCTTTAAATATAAAGTTACCATAAGAATTTCTGATGGTCGTGGGAATGCATCGTTCCAATTATGAGATCATGAATGCACCGAGTTGTTTAAAAAATCTGCATCAGAATTAAAAAGAATGTACATAACTTATGTGGAGGTTATAAATAATTTTTGTATTAAATTAGGCTTCTTTTAATTTTTGTATTAAATTAGGCATATATATATATATATATATATATATATATATATATATATATATATACTTTTTTTATTCATTTTGTACTAAACGAATACTCTTTATTGTTTAGGACGAAATGAATGCATTCCCACCTGAAATGGATACTATAGTTGACCAACACGTTCTGTTTAAGATTCAAGTAAAACCAGATAACATATTAAATATGTATGAATCTTTGTCCGTGATGAAACTTTTTTGTGATCTAGGACTTATTTCAAAAATTCGTGATAGTATGTTACTAGAGAACCAGATTGAAAATATCTAAAAATTTCAATTATTATAATTTTAATAGTTTATAGTTTATTACTCTTAAATAATAAAAAGTAAATAATATATGTACTTTTATTGTATAGGATATAGGATTCGGATGCATTTTTCACATTATAACTTGGTGAAGTTAACCGTGTTGAGGTAATTTCTCTATGTAATTTAATAAACTATTTTTATATTTATTCTTCTAATTTTGTAAATATTGGACAATAAAGAATATAATTAGAGGAACTTACACTTTTGGTCCTATGACTATAGGGGGCGGGCGTGTTAATTTCAGTACTTGACTTTAAAAACTAACAATTTAGTACTACAACTATGCAATTTCTAACACATTTGGTCCTCCCGGCCAAATCACCGGCGAAATTTGGCCAGAAACACCAAACCATTTTAAATTAAATATAAGTGGGGACAAAACGGTCATTTGAACTTCAAATTTCTGTTCCCAACTCAGTTATAGGAATGAATTGTTATCCTAATTCATTTGTACGGAAGATATATTTTTTGTCTAGATATATAGTAATTTTTTTATTAAAAAAAAAACATAATATTACCGAGTATATATTTACACATTATTGAAACATATTTGTAGACGACATTGGTAGTGACAACACAATCTTTTCCATCCTCGTCTAGAGTTAACACCTTCAGTCCATCAGGACGGGTTACTCGGGTGAAAATATATAATGGTAGAATATCACTCAATTAGTGATCCTTTTATATTTTCAGTCAATTAGTAATATCAAGTTTATTTTCAGCCAATTATTCTTTTTTATTTTCAGTCAATTAGTCAATTAGAATAACAAATGCAATCATTCAAAAAAAAAAAAAAAAAAAAAAGAATAACAAATGCAATGATACTTTTATCTAATTGTCATTCCTTTATTAATTGATGGTATAGATATTATTATTGAAATATTTCTGTTCCATTTTTAATTTACTTTTACTATAGTTTAAAATATGCATTTACTATTGATGGTGTAGAATATTATTATTGAAATATTTCCGTCCAATTTTTAATTTATGTTTCATTTTTAATTAAAATGCAGTGAAGTCACCATTTCTTTTTATTTTAGTCAATTATGGATCATTTTTTATTTGCAGTCAATTATTAATATTTATTTTGTTTTATATTTTTAGTCATTTATTTTCTACTGTGCAACCAAACATTAAAAAGAAAAATATTTTATGAATAATAATTCATTTTCCAGAAATCATTGTCATACTTTCCAAACGAACTTTAATATCTATACAATTAATTTTTTAAACAAATTCGTCAAAATTTTATCAAATTTGCCATTTTAACATTTTGTCTTTCATCAAAACACCAAAAATATTATAAATATTATTTAATAACTTGCCAATTTGCTCCAAACAGTTAAAAAACTAAAACAACACATATACATTTTGGGTTAATATTTCTCAAACATCCCTAATAAATAATTTTTTTTTAAAACAAAAACTAAAATAAGAAGCCATTAACTAAGACTTCGTAA